TCACTGCCACATCATCTTCCCAGAACCCCTCATCTGTCTTTCACCTGATTTTAGTATGTATTAGTATCCTTACCTGAATCCTTATTTCACTGGCAATTTGGAAAAATAAAATTCTTTTGTTCTTTCTTCATATATTACCTGCTGTTCCTTTTCATTATCAGTGGGGCTGTTTTAATACCTTGAAAAACAGTTTCTACTGCAAAGGTGTGATATAATGTAATTAAAACGCTTAGACTAAGGAGTTAATGTAATCATATCAGTAGGGGCAATTGATTTTGACTTCTTTGGTTTTTTCTTGCCTTCATTTTTGGAATACAGTTATGAACTCATGGATTTTTGTATATTTAATTTGTTTCACAGTCATTACACTTAGTGATATTCAGAGTGCTTCCAGACAGACCAGTGGGAGCCTCATCACACTGCCTTTGGTATCCTTTTGACGTGACTCTATTAGATTTTGCGATTTCTGGCTCACCTTGAACGTTCTCAACCCTAGGCCTGGAATAAGCCGTTTTTTACACTGAGTCTTGGTTATCTCCTTTGTTGGGGAATGGCATTTAGAAGTCAGATTTTAAGTACATGGTATAACCTTTGCTATTGGATTTTATTGCTCTTAGGCCTTTTCAGGGGACAGAGCTAGGGAAAATTTTTTCCTAATGTGTCTAGAAATTGCCTCATATCAATGGAGAGCTGTCTTCCACCTTCTTTTGTGTGGCTGAATACTACCGTATTTTGTGGGTACAGTATAGGTTATTCACATTCTCCTTTTTTACCAGCCTTATGCTCTTGAAAGTAATAGAATCATCTTATGCATATATCATTCTATACATATGTAGGTATATCATTAAAATAAACAGCTAAAAGTGGGATTGTTGCATCAAATGGTAGACACATATAATTTTGCTAAGTATTGTCAAATTCCCCTTAGCAGAAATTGTAACATTTTACACTCCCATCCAGCAATATATGAGTAATCTCTTTTCGTGTACCTTCCCTAGCCGAATATGTTATCTGCCTGATAAGAAGTGGTATTTCATTGTAGTTGTAATTTACATTTGCCTCATGAATAAAGGTGATGAGCATCGTTTCATGTGTTTAAGAGCCATTTGTCATTTTTATACTCATTTGTTCATTTTACTGTTTAGTTGTTGAGGGGTTTGTCCCCCATTTTTGGAAACTGTACGTTTGGGAGATTTACCATTCAACTCTGATAAATTTGCGAATATTTTTTCCCAGTTTGTCATTTGCCTTTTGACTTTGCTTACAGGTTTTTAGCCACATGAAAGAAAGCTTTTATGTTTATATGGCTAAATATTGAATTTTTCCTTTATTCTGTTTTGTTATGTATTTTGTTAGTTTTGTTTATTTTCTAAATATTCTTGCTTTTCTCATTTCTGGTCTTTATGTTCCTAGTAGAAATGTTGGTCATATTGCTTCTCCTTTGGTCACTTTGTAGATTAGTCTTTCTCATCTTTTTCTCCTATTTAAGTTTATTTTCTTAGTCTTCTCATTTCTATTTCATATTTGTCAGTCTTTGATGTTTTCATATTTCTGGTTAATGATGTTCTTTTCTACCTGCTGTTGCACTTTCACTTCATGGTGGAATGTTGTGTTTTAGGTTTACTGTGCTTCATGACTGATTTTCTGGCAACTTCTGTCCGCCAAAAGGTTTTCTTCTCATTTGCTGAACTTTTTTTTTTTTCTTTTTTTTTTTTAATAATCATTTGGATTTTGGAATGATTTTTTTCATTTTTGTTTCACTATGTTAGATTTTTTTGGACCTGCTATTAGTAGATCCCATGCAGTGGGGAGGAGTTTGAGTGACTTTAGTGGTCTCTTGGTTGAAGGGACCCCTCTTCTGTTGTTACAATGAAGGGCAGTTTCTTTAACATATGGTTCCATCGTGTTTAATTGGAGCGTTTTTTTTTTTCAGGTAGTTAATTTTTTTTTTTTAATTTAATTGGAGCCGTTTTTATTAGCCACTTCCATCCCATTATAGGAGTCCCTGGGTGGCGCAGACAGTTAAGCACTCAACTCCTAGCCAAAGTCTCACCATCCTCGCTTCCAGTGAGCACTCTGGCTGTACTTCTTCCAAGACAGATCTGTTTGTTCTTCTGGCAGTCCACGGTATATTCAGTATTCTTCGGCAGCACCCACCATAATTCAAAGACATCAGTTCTTCTTTGATCTTCCTTATTCATTGTCAGCTTTCACATGCATATGAGGCGATTGAAAACACCATGGCTTGGGTCAGGCACACTTCAGTGATTAAAGTGACATCTTTGACATCTTCAGTCCCTGGAGAAGGACATCGTGCTTGGTAGAGTAGAGAGGGTGAGTGGAAAAGAGGAATACCCTCAACGAGATGTATTGACACAGTGGCTTCAACAATGGGCTCGAGCGTAACGACTGTGAGGATGGCACAGGACCGGGCAGGGCTTCATTCTGTTGTACGTGGGGTCGCTGTGAGTCGGGACTGACTCGGTGCCACCAAACAACAACAACTAGCTAAAGGTTTGCACTGTGAACCCACCCAGAGGCGCCTCAGCAGACAGGCCTGGCCATCTGCTTCCGAGAGGTCTCAGCCTTGAAAACCCTGTGAAGCAGTTCTGATCTGTACATGGGGTTGCCATGAGTCTGAATCAAGTCATGGGCATCTAACAACAACAAATCCCTTTATAGCCAGATGCTACTTCTAAGGAACACTTCTGCCTTCCAAGGTGCTGTATTCCCTCCCATGTTGCCTTCCTGAAAGTGCCATTTCTGGTCCCAGATACTTTCCAAGGCCTTTCTTTTTAACCATACTGTTGCCAGTGCTGTAGCCTGCCCTCAGTAGTTCACTCTTAGCGGGGGGCTCCGCCATTGTGGGGTGAACCCTAGCCACTGTTATCTGTATACCCTGTTCTTCCATAGAGCTCCTGCTGGGCTCTGCTAGTGTGGACTCAGGTGCTAACTCTGCTGGTCTTACCCGTTTATTTCCCCACTTACTTGTCAGAGTTTGCTGCTTTGTCACCTACTTTGGGTCATGGGTTTTTTAATTTGATTTTCTCTCCTTTTTGATCTAGATAAATTTTAGGAGATGTGAGTAGGATTGAATCTGTGTAGCCACCACTTTTTTATAGAAATTCAGAAGCTGCTTTTCTGTTTGAGTTTTCTAAATAGATGCATTCTTTTTTAATTGAAAATTTTAACGTAGCACAAAACACTTCTGGAAAGAGAGCAGTTTTGGTCAATAAGTGCTTTCATTATATAAACTTATCGTAATATCAGTTATTTAAGGTCTAATTTTTAAAAAAGAAGCAAAGAAACAGCTCGTTAGTAATATGGACAAACTGGTCACTATCACTACTGCTGGTCTGTTACTTGTTTCAGGGTCTGTGTCCTCCACTCAAGAGTGCCCTTAGATCTGCCTCCCTGATGGAGCTGATTCTGTCAGGCTTCAGAACACTTCTGTGTTGTTAAGAGAGGATCACCTCACTACAGGGTAGCTTTTCCACTTTGGCAGAGGGCTCTGAGCTACAGCAGATTTGGTTTCTCTTGCCATCTATCCCAAGAGGAATGACCTGTGTTGTGGTCTGATGCCTCTGTTTTCCTAGCTGAGAGGTTTTCTTGCAAATTCTGTGTCCACTTTCCTGTTGTTGCTTATCATTTACATTAGGTGAGTGGGAGGTTTGAAGGAACTGAGAGACGGTGAAGGTGTTTGAGAAGCAGGGAAGGGAAGTGGCAAGAGATTGGAGAGAGCCAGGAAGTCTAATAAAGCTGCTAACCAGTGTCAGAAATAATGGTATTACAGCAACAAAAAATACCAGTATTTTGGTTATATTAATATACTGGAATACAAGAATATTAGAAAAAACTTGAATTATAATTGCTGTTTTGGAAATTAGGAATTTTTTTGGCAAGATTCTAGGAAGAACTTTTCAAATAAATATCAAAATTCATTCTATAACCAACTAAAAATACTTTTAAACCTTTTCTAAAATCCTAAAATTCATTGGCTGAGAATCAGTGTGTACATTAGCTTTGTAGATATATAGAAGCATGTCAAGATTGCTCTTAATGGGCTTGCATTTTGTTGGATAGGATTCAGAATAACATTGTGTGATTATAACATGACTTCTATTGTGTCGGTTTTAGGAATACCAAGGGTTACGTCACTCCCTTAAAATGGAGTAACCACATACGGTAGAAACACCAGAACAACCCCCACCCTCACACACAGCGTGCACCTGCTTGGTTCTAGTTTGTATAAAATTCGTATACTTCTGTGTTACTGCCCATAGGTGTGTGTGCTTTTTTGTTTGTTTTGTTTCGTTTGTATTCTTTTTGTCCTCCCCACACCACCCAAAAGATGAGTAGAGGATGACTGGAAAAGAAGAATAAGGAAAGAGGGATAAATAAAAAATACGTATCTGATGATATCCAGAGTTAATTTTTCAGAGTTTTTCCTTTTAGTCTTTTTCATATTTTAGTTTTGGATTCTGTCTTTTGTTCTGTTACTACATAATATACCACTAGGTGATTATACAATTAAAAAATCAAACTCGTTGCTGTCGAGTCTATTCTGACTCATAGCGACCCTGTGGGACAGAATAGAACTGCTCCATAGCGCTTCCGAGGAGCGGCTGGTGGATTCGAACTGCTGACCTTTTGGTTAACAGCTGTAGTTCTTGACCAGTGAGCCACCAGTGCTCCGATTATACAATAGTTTTACATAGTTATTTCCTATTGTTAAGACACTGGGGTTTTCCAGTTTTTCTCTGTCATAAATAATATAGTGATGAACATAAGCTTGTATGTATTTAGAACTGCTTCCTTAAGATAAATTTGTGTAAGTAGAATTACTAGATCACCAGGAATGAATCTTCAGGGTTTCTTTCTGATATGAACTTCCAAATTGTTTTCTAATACGATTTTAATAAAAATCTTTAACTTAAATCAGTAGTGCTAGTTAATAACAAATGTCAAACTAAAATCAATATTATATCTTTTCTCATTAGGGAGTTCTGGGAAATCGTTCATTCATTTACCGATGAACAGAAAAGACTCTTCTTGCAGTTTACAACTGGCACAGACAGAGCACCGGTGGGAGGACTAGGAAAATTAAAGATGATCATAGCCAAAAATGGCCCAGACACAGAAAGGTAATTGTGAAATTGTAACTACAGACGTTACATTTCCCTTTACACAAGTATGAGACTGTCCTTGTAGCTTCCAGTGGAAATCCAAATCATGTGAAATACTGGTTTAGAGAATATTTTGCTATTATTGTATGAGGAATTTTTTTAAAAACTGGCCTAGTTAAAAATGATTATGGGGCTCATACTGGTTTAGAATTTTGCAGGTTAGTATGGTTCATTCAGTTTTGGGTTCAGAATTTATTAATTGAAAGCCACGTTTTATAATAGTATAGTGGTTGAGTTTAGGCTCAGGAGATTGTCTCTCAGCATTAGATGATGCTAGAATCCCCAGTTGTGTATTCTTGCCCTTGTGTTCTCTCCCCGTTGTATAGCTTAGTATTTTTGATAGGCAGGGACTGTGCATGAGCAATAGCATATTTAATGGTTAAAATGTATAATGTTTCCATTAATATTTTGCACATAATGCTGCTAATATAAATTTATTTATATTGTATATCATTTACATAGTCATATTGCCAGCAGTATTTTTACTAAACATTAAACAGCACAGACATTGAAATCTTGGAAACTAGGTTTAAATATCATCTCCACCTTAAAGGAAGTTACTTCTCAGTGACTTCAGCTATAAAGTGAAGACACTAATACCCACTCTGCAGGTTTGTTCTGAGAGATTTAGTTAAACGAGCTATACAGGTTAAATACCTAAAACAATATCTGGTACGAAGTAATAACTCAGTGTACATGTTAGAAGCAGGAGCAGCATTGAGTAATTCATAGGATAAAGACAAAGTGATACTTGGTGATTGCAAAGGGAAAAGCAAAATGTTTATTTTTATGATTTGCATTGATATATAGTCTGTGTATAGTCTGTACTGCAGGCCATCTCAACTATACCTACCATCTAAAAGTAGGATCATTTAATACTGATCATATTTCCTGTGACTTATTTTCCTGTTTTTTTCCCTTTCTCTCTATTTAGGTTACCTACATCTCATACTTGCTTTAATGTCCTTTTACTTCCGGAATACTCAAGCAAAGAAAAACTTAAAGAGAGATTGTTGAAGGCCATCACATATGCCAAAGGATTTGGCATGCTGTAAAAAAATGAAAAAAGAAAAATGAGAAAAAGAAAACAAAAACAAAACAAAAAAGGGGGGAGGGATAAATTTTAATAAATATAATGAGGGATAAAATTTGTGGTGGTAGTTCCCAGTGCAAAAAGGCTGTAAGATAGTGAACCACAGTAGTCATCTGTGTCTGTGCTTCTCTTCTCTTGGGGGACATACGGGCTGGAACAGCACATTTCAGCTGCTTATATGAACAAATTCTTTATTTTTTTTCTGTGTGTGTGTGTGTGTATGTGTGTGTGAAAGTATCACATATTCTTTCACTTGTATGTACAGAGAGGTTTTTCTGAATATTTATTTTAAGGGTTAAATCACTTTTGCTTGTGTTTATTACTGCTTGAGGTTGAGCCTTTTTGAGTATTTAAAAAAATATACAGCAACAAAACTACTCTCCCAAGGAAGATACTGCCATCATTTGTAGACTGTGTAACCTTCAAGTATATGCTATTTTTTTGTCCCTGTATCTAACTCTCAAATCAGGAACTGTATTTTTTTTTTTAACCATTTGCTTTTGAAACTTGAAGTTTTGGAAACAGTGTGATGCAACTGCTGCTGTTCTAGCCCCCAAAGAGTTTTCTGTGCAAATTCTTGAGAATCAATAAAGATGGAAGGGAGAACTTGGAATGTTTCACTGCAGCCCTCAGAACTTTACTTTAGCAACAGCACAACAAATTAAAAAACAACTCATGCCACAGTATGTCGTCTTCATGTGTCTTGCAGTGAACTGTTTCTGTAGCCAGTCCTCTTTCTTAGTATATGAAAGGACAGGGATTTTTTTGTTGTTGTTGTTATTGTTGTTGTTGTTTTAAGTTTACTGGGAAAAAGTGCATTTGGCCAAATGAAATGGTAGGTAGTTAAGTCTATTGCAAGAAAGTTGGGAAGTTTGTTCTTTATTATAAACAAGCATGTGAAAGTGCACTTAAAGTAATTTTTTTTTTATTAATTATTACCTGGATTTTAAATAGACAATCCAAAGTCTTCCCTTCATGTTGCTGTCATCTTGTCTAATCAGCCATTTTTATCAAGGCACGTGATCAGTGTTGCAACAAAGTGGAAAGGATAGCTACTGTGCCTTGTTTTACTTAATCCTACGGTAAGCAAACCTGGAAATGAATGGAACTATTACTCCTAAGGCCTATTTACATTGTATATCCCCCAAAGATAAAATTTTACTTCAGAAAGTGTTAAAGATTACTTTCATATGCTATGGAAAAGTACAAATAGGTGTAAATTACTGGACATTCAGAAGTAAGTAGTTTCCCCTTTCCTAGTCTTCTGTGTCTGTGATGTTAATTTCTTTCATTGCAATCTAAAATAAAAGGATTATGTATTTTTAACTAAGGAGAGACGATATATCTTCTTGCTACAAGCTACAGCTAATGTGCTGAGCTTGTGCCTTGTTGATTGTTTTAACTATTACAGATCAGCCTGATGATTTGTTTGAGATTGGCATGAAAAATACAGCTTTCAAATCATTGGAGGGGAAAAGATGTCTTTCAGGATTATTTTAATAAATTATTTTAGTAATTGAGACAACTGTTATGTACCATAATGCTAAATAAAACAGTGACATTTTCATCATAATTTAGTGGGAAAAGAAGACCATGCTTTCTATATTACTGTAAGGTAATATGGGTTTCTTGTGGGCCAGCCTTTAGAACACTGTTAAGGTATATACGCTACCTTGATGCAAGGGACCCTCATGAAACTATAGTCATCTTAAAGGGCCTCATCCATTGTGCTTCTTATGTGTAATGAAAGTGAGAGCAGGAGAAATCAAGTATTCTGGGGATGTTTTTTGTAATAAATTTGTGAAGAAATTTGTACGCTTCAATTCTCTCAAGTTTTATTATCACCACAGTACTGAAGTTATGATGTGTGAAAAATTTTGGATGGTAAGTGAGCATAGATTATTAACATAGAATACACACCAAATAGTGTTGAAATTCTATTTCAACAAAACTGTTGAATATTAAATCTACCCTTGAAAAGTTTTAAGACAAAAAGACATTGGTGGGCTAGACTATCTGTTTGCAGTTGCTTAGTAATTAATTATCCTGGGCTTGTTACCCCTTCCCTGTATCATTGATGCCTTTTCACTAGTGTTGACTAAAATGTCACTGAGCAGTATCTTGAGGAAAACAATAATGGCCACTCTATTCCAAAGGTCATATTTTAAAAATAGCTTTTAGCCCAGGTATTCTTTTATATATTTTGGGTTTCTGTGAATCAGCCCACAATCTCAAGGAATCTCTTGAGGGGGTGGGGAATAAACCATAAACTAAAATAATTGGCTTTCCAAATAAACTAAAAACTTGTTTTTGCATTTTATAATTATAGAAAACTTTAAACATAACAACATAAAAACAGCCTGCAGCCAAACATTTTTTGGAGTTTGGCAGCCCTTGCAAGTAACTTGGGTGTCCTGATTGTATACTACTTTCCTGGTCTATGGCTAAGGATGATAAAATCCAATCACACCTTCTTTTGCTAAATTTTTGACGTATGCCTATGTAGGGAGATAAACGTGAAAAAGAAACTTGAAAATGAGGCCTAAAACAGGACCCCCTGATGCTATCTATACTCCCTTGGCACAGATATTAGGACAATTGGCTGTAATCTGGAAACAGCACTCCCTGTTCCCTAAGAACATGGCCAAGCTAGGATATCAAGCCCTTTTTAGGAGTTTTCTCAATCTCATACAAACTGTTGGAGGAAGAAGTGTCTTCCCAAGGCTAGTGGAGTCTTGATCTCTACCTGCTTACCTTAAAAATATTTTCCAACCTTCCACCAGCCTCTCCCTAAGGACTATATCCTTCCCGCCCCTTCCCTTAAAGAAGCCCCAAACAGCTTTCATGTGCCCCCGCTCATCTTTCTTCCTTTTTACCAGAGTGTTAAAAGAATCATCTGTGGAGGGTGTTAATAAGCCTCCACCCCCTTCCCTGTGCAAATCCATTGGGTTGACATTTGTTAACCACTGCAAGAATTTGATGCAAGTGTAGGGTGAATCTCATTATGAGAAATGCAACTGAAACTGTTCTCATCAAGGATAACAACCCAATAGTCAAAGGCAGGAGCTCTTGTCTTTAACCTTGACAACACTGAACTTGGGCTGCTACTTCTCTAACTGCTTTGTTCAATCTCAACTGGTTCCTCTTCCATATCTAGACCTTAGATGTTCTACTGTAATCCTATTTGAAGTTCTTATCTACTTGTCCAATCTCTGGGCATCCTCACCCACTCCTGAAGATTCTTGCACAAGTTCATATCTTTCGTTCAGACCTCTCTTTCCAGGATATCTTTCTGGTAGCTCTAAGTAATGCACCTAGAAACAAAACTCTTCATCTTGTGTCTCTCCCCACCTTACTTTGTTCCTTAAAGCATCACCTTCAACCCAATCATCAAAATCCCTTATCCCTCAATCGGTACGCCTTCCGATTGCCAATTTCTCCTTGAACCTCTCCATCATTCCTCATTATACTCCCTTCAAGTCCTTCGTTCTCATCTCTTCTAATCCTTTTCATTTTGCTAAAACAAGATTTTGCTAATTTTAACATCCTCTGCCCAAAACCTTTTCCTACCTTGAGTAATCTCTGAGGCTATCATCCAAAGCCCTCCATACACTGAGCCCCACCTACTTTTCCAGTTTTGGCTTCCATTATAGGCACCCCCACCTGTGCCTCCACCCAGCACCTTATCATACTTAATTCGTATTTCTCAAATACACTTCAAGACAAGTTTTTAAAAGCACCCCATCCGTAAAGACTTCTTTACCATCAAAGGTCCTCTGTAACCCCATGGCAACCCACACTGCTGTGGTAGCACAGCATGGTAGGGCATACTTGTTCTCCACTATAGGAGTCATTGGGTTTCTTACAGGCGGTGTCACCGTAGATAAGATCATTTCCACATTTTAGCACTTTGTGAGGCTTGTGTTTAAAACCTTCGAAACCTAAGATAGTTTGAAAAACATTGCATGGAGTATAAGCAAATTCATGGTGAATCTATCTCACATATAGGTGCATAATGGCATTGCTAAAAGGATTGGCTCCGTCCTTCCACGCGGCGTGTCACCACTTGAATGAAAACAATCCAGCATGCAGTAGAATGATAAAGCTTCCTGTTTTTTCACTACGGGGGCGGGGGGGCATCTGTCTCCTTGGACCCCCTCCCCTACCCTCTGCCCCAAGTCTGGTAAAAGGTTTTTATATTTGAATATTTACTGGCTAAGGACTTGTTCCTTCTTGAGGAAGCTCTCTAGAACCACTGGCTTTGCCATTTCAGCCCAAAGAAAGGAAGCTCAGCAAGAGGGAAAGAAAGAAAAGAAATGGGCCTTGAGAGCAAGATTCTTGTGTGACTTCCCCTGCCCTTGTGCTCTGGCAGTCAGGATCCTTTGTGCAGCCACCTCCCCTGTATCCACACTATTCCTCTCCCAATGGGGAGAGGGCTGGCATCTTGCATCATCCTACTGCTGCAAGCCACTCAAGTCTTTCAAGGAGCAGTCCTCAGCCAAATATACTTCGCATACTACATGAACCACTCACCATGATGAATGCTTGCTTTGCCAGAACCTTGTACCTATATTTAGCATTTACTCTTGCAGTGCCCACTAAGTACCTTGTATACATGAAATCTTTTCATCGTCGCAGATTTCACCATGGTTCAAGAGGTTATGCCCCTTGCTGAAAGTCATACAACCAGTATATAGACGAACAGGGGTTTGGACTCAGTCCCATATGACACTAATATTTGTCATCTTTCTATTGCCACAAAAAAGTCGCCGTCGAGTCGATTCTGACTCATAGTGACCCTGTAGGACAGAGTAGAACTGCCCTATAGGGTTTCCAAGGAGTGGCTGGTGGATTCAAACTGCCAACCTTTTCATTAGCAGCCAAGCTCTTAACCACTGTGCCACCAGGGCTCCAAATCAATCCTCAAGTCAGTATTCTTAGGTTCAGTCAGCTGAAGAGGACCTGGAGTAATTACCCTAGCCATCTTCCAGTCTCCAAGAAACTGTAGAAAATAGGATGAGATGTGTCTGGTAAACAGCACACAGAGTGGGTGAGAGGGCAGCCTTTGGAGTCAGATGACTCTGGGTTTCAATCCTGACCTTGACCTTCTTTTGGCTTGGATTACCCTACCCAAGCCTACCTCATTTCTGTTGTCAGGATTCAGTGAGGTTGAGATACAGATGCTGGACAGTCTGTTGCAGGGTATCTCAAGAGACTATGAGATGAGTTCTCCCAAAGGGGAGTCTGTTCTATTGAGAAGTTGGCAATATTTGTGCAAGAGTTGACCTTCATCCACCTCAACATGGAGCACTGGCTTTTCCCCTCATCTTTGTTTTTTAAATTAAGATATAATCCACATACCACAAAGTACACTCTTTTAAAGCATACTGTTCAGTGGTTTTTATTATGCTCACAAAATTGTGCCACCACCACCACTATATAATTCCAGGACATTTTCATCACTCCCCCAAAGAATTCCATAATTCCATACCCATTAGGAGTCACTGCCTATTCCTCTCCCAGCAACTTCACCCCCGAGCCCCTAGCAACCTCTAATCTATAATACTTTGTCTCTATGGGTTGGCCTATTTTGGATGCTTCATATAAATGGAATCATACAATATGTGCCTATTTGTGTCTTTTTTCCACTTAGCATAATATACATGAGACTCGTTTATGTTGTAGCGTGTGTCAGTACTTCATTTCTTTTTATGACTGAATAATATTCCATTTGTATTTATAATATTGTATTTTGTTTATCCATTCAACTGACGACGCTTTGGGTTTCCACTTTTAGGCTATTATGAATACTATGAACATTCATGTACTAGTTTTTGTATGGACATAAGTTTTCATTTATCTTGGATATATGGGAGTGGAATTGTTGGGTCATAGGTAACTCTATCCATATTTGAGGAACTGCCAGACTGTTCAAAAGTGGCTACACCATTTACACTCCCACTAGCAGTGTAGGAGTTTCTAATTTCTCCACATCCTCCCCAACACTTGTTCTTGCCTTTTTATTATAGCCATTCTAGGAGGTGTATAGTAGTACCTGATTTTGGTTTTAATTTGTATTTCCCTAATGGAGCCCTGATGGCTCAGTAGTTAGGAGCTCAGCTGCTAACCTAAAGGTCAGCAGTTAGAATCCACCAGCCACTCCTTGGAAACCTTGTGGGGCAGTTCTACTCTGTCCTGTAGGGTTGCTATGAGTCAGAATCGACTCGACAGCAATGGGTTTGGAAAGACTAATGATGCTGAGAAGCTTTTTATGTGCTTATTGGCCATTTGTATATCTTTGGAGAAATGTGTTGTCAGATCCTTTGCCCATTTTTTAAATTGGGTTATATGTCTTTATTATTGGGCTCTATAGATTCAGGATTGAAAAAAAAAGTTGTCATTGAGTCAACTCTGACTCATCGTGACCTCATGTGTTTCAGAGTAGAAGTGTGCTCCATAGGGTTTTCAGTGGCTGTGATCTTTCTGAAGTAGATTGCCAAACCTTTCTTCTGAGGTGCCTCTGGGTGGATTCAAACCTCCAACCTTTCAGTTAGTAGCTGAGAACTTAACCAGTTTGCACCACTCAGGGACTCCTATATTCTCGATACAAGTCCTTTAACAGATGATTTGCAAGTATTTTCTCCTATTCTTTGAATCATCTTCATTTTCGTGGTGATGATCTTTGAATCACAAAAGTTTTAATGTTTGATGAAGTCCAATTTACCTATTTTGTTTGTTTGTTTTTGTGCTTTGGCTGTCATGTGTAAGAAATCATTGCTTAATCCAAGTCACAAAGATTTATGCCTGTTTTCTAGTTTTATAA